GCAACAAGATCCGAAACCTCAATGTGACTCTTGATCAAATGGACTTAATTGATACTTACAGAACCCTCCATCCAAAGACTACAAAATACATATTCTACTCATCACCACATGGAACATACTCTAAGATTGACCACATACTTGGCCATAAATAAAGCATAAGAAAATTTAAAAGGACTGAAATTTTACCATGTACCTTCTTGGACCACAGTATAATAAAAATAATCATTAACACCAACAAGGTCCCCCCGAAACCCACAAAAACATGGACACTAAACAGCATGATGCTAAACAACTCCTGGGTCAATGATGAAATCAAAACAGAGATTAAAAGATACCTGGAAACAAACGAAAATGAAGAAACATCTTACCAAAATCTCTGGGACCTGGAAGCAACCATGCAACCCATCAAAAGAGGACTGGATTAAAAAATGTGGTACATATGCATGATGGAATACTACGCAGCCATAAAAAAGAACAAAATCATGAATTCTGCAGCAACCTGGATGGAACTAGAGTCTATAATACTGAGTGATCTCTAACAGAAACAAAGATCTGGGTATCACATGCTCTCACTCATATAGTGGACCTTGAACATCCAACGTAATACTATAAGAAAATGACTGACGGTGGTGAGAAACTATGGTGGGTGGGGGAAGGGAGATGGGATTAATGGTAGTAAATATCTGTCTGGGGACGGGAGACACCTCTTATCAACAAGGGTGCCTAAATGAAGCATATTTGTATATCTAACCCTTAATTGTACCCCACAATATCATAATAAAAAATATTGATAAAAAAAAGCATGATGTATGGATACATACTACGATATGAATGAACTTTGAAACATGCTAAGTAAAAGAAGTCAGATACAAATACCACATATTATGTGACTTCATTTAAATCAAATGTGGAGAACAAACAAATCTATAGATATAGAAAGCAAATTAATGGTTACTTAGGGCTGAGAGTGAGGGCTGGAGGAAATAGAGAATGACTGTAAATGGGCACTGGGTCTTTGAGGAAGTTGAAATGTTTTAAAATTGATCACAGTGGTGGTCATACAACTCTGAATATATTAAAATTGTACACTTTAAATGGATAAACTGTATTGACATATCTTAATAAGCCTGTAAAAATTCTATGTCTTATAAGAAATAAAATTACATATCAGTATCATAAAGTAATAATAGAAATGACCATATATGCATACAGCTTATAATGTATTTAAAAACAAAAGACAACATTGTATAGCAATAAAATGCTTCTTTAATTTTTCTTACCAGAACTGCTGAACCAAATTCAAAATATATATTTTAGTGTGCATGCCAAATACAAGAATTATCTATATTTATTAGAAGTGGTCTTAAGCTAGAGAGCTGCTGATTCTGCACAGTTATCTCTACATTTCAAGCTGATCCTGCATCTTATTGTGACTATATTAAAATCAATTTTATGAGCAACTGTATACTTGTATCAGAATAGCTACTCTTAAAAAAATGTTGTAATGCCTACTCATAAACCTATATGAGTCCAAACAGGAGCCTTTACACTGAAGTAGATGAGATTCAGCAACTTTGTATCCATTTGAAAAGCATAGTTTTGGATATGAAATATTTATGCTCTTTAAGATTTTAATTTAATGAGTTTAAATTCCAAAATAATTGATTATTATTAAGAAGTCTTGATAGAAAATCTCATAAAATATTACCTGCAAAGCTTTTCATTTTAAGACCAAACTATTGCCTTCCTTAAAATTTTTATTTGCATGTTTTCTCCATTAACTTACAGATTCAGGAAGAAATAACCACAGAAGGGCTATCATCAAAATCATTTAAGGCTTACAGTTCAAAATGCTATTGTATAATACATCACTTTGGTAGAGTCTATTTTGTAATTCTGTGCCTCCTAATAGCAGTTTGCAAAGCCAATTACGTATTAGCACAGGTATTCTCCAAAGGAGAGAACATAAACAGTTTCTATGGCCATAGGAAGCTGGCTTCTCAGGGCAAAACAAAATTGCAAGAGACACATTTTAGGAAGGCACTGACAGAAAGGCAAGCATTACGTCTTTATGTCTTTGCTGGACACAATGACTGAAATCCAGCGGAATGGAAGGGGCTACACTTCAGAAGTTATTGTGTTATTATGTTGGCCAGTGGCCAGATGTAGGAAAAGAAACCCAGGAAACATATTGAAAGTCCTGTGTAACCTTGGCCACAGCCAACCACATGTGCTCTTCCTACAACATCTGCCTTGCAGTAAGGTCTGCTCTAAGAAACAGAGAGACAGCAAATGTCACTAGAGTGTTCAGCACTTACAAGCATACAGTATCACTGGCTCTTCTTTTTTTTACTTCCCAGTTAAGAGGTGAATCAGAGGCCAAGAACATGTAGGTGTATTAGAAGATCCCACAGCACTTTCCTAGCCCGAGGCTATGACTCCTAGAATTTGGCCAACCTCCAGCTCAGGTAATTGTATTCTGCTTCCTAAATTTGCCCTGCTGTTTCAATTAGGTACAGCCTTGATCAAATTTTCCTGCCTTTTCAAGAAAAGAGGAAGAAAAAATTTTTCTTGAACATGCTAGTCTTGCTGACCCATAAGAAAAGGAAAATGTATCACAACACAAAAGTAATGTCTGCCTTAGTAATGAATGAGATGACTGCTATACATTAACTTCCATGTTTGGCAAGCTTCAGAGCACCAAATAAAGATATCAGAGACAGCAAACCTCTTTGGATGGAATTAAACATCTGCCTCATAATACCCTCATCTGGTAGCAACCACACAGGTCTTCTCTATAACTACTACAGAGAGGGAACCTAATGATCTATTCAAAGCCATGCAGTAAAAAGCTGAGACATTCCTGCAAGTGTTTCTGTTTCTCTTATTGAAGATTATCAACGACACTCTCATGATTTGGGTAGGGGCCATCAGGAGAGATTCATGAAACATATCAACTAGCCAGTTTCTCTTTAATGCCAAGAATTCTAAAAATAAAGCAGGATGCATCCCTCAGATGGCCAGAAACTTAAAGTCTGACTATCAATTTTGGGCAAAGATATAGGAAAAATAAAACTATCATGCATTGCTGGTGGGACTATAAACTGGTTCAGACACTTTTCATAGCATTTGGCAGTATCTAATAAAATTAAAAATGTGTCTACCCTACAACCCAGCAATTCAGCTTCTAAGAATATACTCCACTGAGGTTTTCACATATGGTGCCAAGAGGCACATCCACAATGTTCACTGCAACAATACTTCTAATAGAGAAAAACTGGGTGGGGGAGTGACACACACTACTGTTCATAAAAGAATAGAATAATAAAATGTATGATAGAATATCTTGGATTGACCTAAAACAAATGTAGTGCTAAGTGGAAAAAAATAAGAACAGAGAGAAATGTAAACAGCTGGAAACCCATTCATTAGAATGTATAAAAAGCAAGCCTTACTTTTTTGCTTCTGTAAATGCATAGGGATTATGGGAAATACAGCACACGTGTACATACACACACAGACATCTTCAGTGCTGACTGCCCAGCACCGTATGTTTCTTGGCAGAAGTCAAGATCCAGCTCCCAAGACAGACCAGAAAAAGCCAACAACTTGCTTTCCTAGGTCACACCAATTGCGAAAGGGAGCAAGGGCATGATCGAGCATGCCCACCCTGACAATCCGCCTCAGGGCTTTGCACCTAAGGCTGAACATGTAAAGTCCCAGACTCAGTGAATAACATCCAGCTACTGGAGGCAAGAGTCACATTCCAAGTGTAAGGCAGGCAGAGGCACAGTGCAGCTCCCTGGGTCCTCGTCCCTAACCCCTTGCCAGAGTGGTCACTGTGGCTGCTTGCATAGCCTCACTCTGGGGGCCTGCTCACTATCCGAGTCTAGACTACCAGTGTTCTCAGGCACTCTGCTTACCATCCAATAATCTTTCTGTAGAATGCCTTTCTGGTTTGAAGCAACACAAGACTTCTGATGCTGCTTATGGACTGGAGACTGCATAGGTGAAATGCAACAAGCAGCTTACCACTATGGGGACAGCCCCTGGACATGGGGAAAGAGAGATGGGCAAGCAATCGGCTCTGTTTTATTTATTTAAGGGAAAAGGGTCACACAAAACAACAAACTGTTAAGAGTTATTCACTCTAGATGTCAAAAAAAAGCGCGTGTGTATCAACCATTATACTTAAAGTACTAATTCTTTTTCTTTTCTTTTTGAGTTGGGGTCTCACTCCATTGCTCAGGCTGGAGTGCAGAGGCAAGATCACAGCTCACTGCAGCCTTGCATTTCTGGACTCAGGTGATCCTTCTACCTCAGTCTCCTGAGTAGCTGGGGTTACATGCTGTACCACACCAGACTAATGCTTGTATTTTTTTGTAGAGATGAAGTCTCACTGTGTTACCCAGGCTGGTCTTGAACTCCTGGATTCAAGCAATCCTCCTGCCTTGGCCTCCCAAAGTGCTGGGATTACAGGCATGAGCCACTGTACCTGGCTCTTAATTCTTAAAAGATGAAAAATAGGCCATTTCGGGGTTTCCCAGGTGGTTTAGGCATTTAATATCCTAGGCCTGTTTAGCGGCTACATAGTTTGAAGCTATGTGATAAATACTAGGAACTGTGCCAGAAACATACTGGATTTAGGAATAAATGCACAGATTCTCAATATGTAACCTTGTGCTACTATTGAAAAGGAAGATCCAAAGACTAAGGCAACAAGTAAACAGGCTCTTCACAAGGGTGTTTGAGCATAGCAAAGCATTTCTTGACTCCCCATTCATAATTTTCCTTTTAAAATACTTAGATATACATAAGCCATTACATTTACACACGAAATATGTGTTATTGGACTCCTGGGCTGGCAAATTAGCACATACAGACTTGTTGGGGAACTCTCCCAGCAGGATGGCTTCTCTCTAGGCTTTACTCCCTCTCTTAATTCATAACTTAATAGCCCCCAGTGATGTGCCCAATGTTAAAAAGCAGAGACAACTTACTACATGGATGTCCTAACACCTTCACTTCATCAATAGCAAGGTAGCCTTGATGTCCAGAAGTTATCACTTCAAAAATCACCTGTAAAATTAAAAAAGATTTATATTATTCACCCATTTTGTCAGACTTTTACCAAATATCTCCAACATATAGAACACATAGTTTCACTCACTCTTCATTTACTTATGTGCCTAACATCTGCTAGTTGATGTTCCAGGTTCTAGACTGCAAAGATAAGTAAGACCCCACATTGGTCTTTAGAAAGGTCAGTGGGTGGGTTAGATAGCACCCCACTATAAGGACTCACCTGGTATGGATGAGTCCTTTTTTTTTTAATACTTGGAAAACAGAGGCTTGGAGTCATTTTACAAGGAGTTGGAGATACAGTGAAAAACAAAGTATTAAGATCCTCAAGATCACAGAATTTAAATTTTGGAGAGAAGACAAACATTAGTAAAATAATCACACAAAAATAATACTGTAATAATTATTTTCCAAAACCAGAAGGTGGGCAATTACTCTGAGAAAATCTATCATGAAAGGATAGTTTATGGGCTTAAGGGACAAAGACATATACACTGAACCAAAAGCAAGGAAGCTCAGAGAATCATGAGTAGGCAGAGAAAGCAGAGTGCTAGTGACTAAGCTACCCGGATGGCAGATAGGGTCATGGAAACAGCAGTCTTTGGGGCTCTATGTCCAAGAGTTTCTGAAAATGGAAAGGACTCCCCACCCAGAGTCACAGTCAAGATTACGAAAGATACTGAGCTTATGGTAAAAACCTAAAGAAGACTTTTAAATGTTTTACTGTATTTTAAACTCACCCTTATACACACATTCAGATTTTTTTTCCTCAAGAAGAAATGACAAAATTTAGATTGCTTTAGATAACATTTCGGAAGGTGATTCTCTGGCAAGACTGAACTATGTGAGATCATAGGTTTTAAACAACTGAAAAAAATTATTTAAGAGTTATGAAAGAAAACTATAGGGTAGTAGAAGTACATACACCAAGAGGACCTCATATGAGGAAGTGAGATTTAAGCCAATAGCTGCAAGATGAGTATGAGCTAACAGTGTTAAGAGGACAAGGCTCATTCCAGGGCTAATATGAAAGCCCTGAAATGGGCATGACCATGACCATGAAGAGACCCAGGACCTATGGCCACAAAGGTCAGCTGTGGTCAGGTTTCAGAAGACTCTGCTTGTAGGGCAGTAGCACTTGGAAAGATGTCCTATTAATAATACAGAGAAGAGACTATGCCAACTGAAAATCAGATGGTGGAGGCATGAATTAAGGGGAGAATAATACAAAAATTTCTACAGTGGTGAAATCAAGAGAGCTTTAGCAATTCCTTGATCACTGGAGAAGTAAGACGAGAGGAAAAGGACAATGTGCCCTGAGGTTCTAAGAATGAAGAACTAGATAGCGACAGCATAGGCGGAACTGTGAGATTCTCTGAAAGTGAGTTCCCAAAAATACTCTTACTTTCCTTCCCCCACCCCCTGTCCACCACCAGCCATACCAGTCCGAGGCCTGGAGACCCTCGGACACATGCAAGGCCGGCTATTGAGGCCTCTTGGCTGCTACCGCTCCACTATAGGCGACCTCGGGCCCTGGCTGTGTGGAGACCCCAGCTCCCTCCCCAGCTACAACAACTCGCCCGGTGGCCCTTGGATACTACCTTGTGGAGATCTGGGTTCCCTTGCTGGCTACGCTGATCCGCCAGGCACTCAGCCGCTGCCAGCTCTCTCCCTGACTGGGCGCCCAATCCAGCAGGCTGGTGCTCGCTCCTCAGAGTTCCAGCTCCCCATCCTGGGTTCTGGGCCCCCACCCAGTCCTATTTCAAGCTGCCATCACCCAGGGAGGCTCTAGGCACCTGCCCCTCAGAGATACCAGCTCCATTCCTGGCTGACGTGCCCTGTGCGGGGCTCAAAGCTGCTGTCACTGCTCACCACCTGCCCTTTGGAGCTCTGGTCCCCACTCTGGCTGAGGAACCCAGCATGGGACCCCATGGTTGAGTAATGGAACAGTGTATCTTAAGGAGGTGCTGATCAGACACTCTCAGCTCTCAGTTCCAGAGGAGGGAATTCCCAGCTCCTTTCTCCAACCCAGGCCACTGGTGGCATGCCAGATCCAGCACCCAGCTGTGTCACTGATCCCACAGGCCATCATGGTGGATCGCCCATGGACCCGGGCAAGTGGAGAGAAAGGATCCTTGAAAGAGGAGCTGCCCACCTTGGTCATTTTCCAGGCAGAGATTTGTACTGCCCCGCCCATCTACGAACAACCTCCACCTTGGTTTCTAAGGTAATGTCGCTAAACAGGAGCCAAAAGGTCCTCCTCTACACTGAATCAGATACAGGCAACTCAGGCCTGTCGCAGACCTCTCAGGCAGCAAGCCAAAGGAACGAACCCAAGCTTGGAATAAATCTATCTGTCAGCAATGAAAGCAAAGGGGAGAGGCTAGAGATCAGAGCTGAAGAGACTTTAGACACTCAGGAAAGATTCCAGAGCTAGTCTGGTTTCTTATTTTGATTTCTGATTTTATGTTTTGACTCTTTGTTTTCTCAATTTTGTTTGCTTTTTGATTTAGACTACCTGTTTGTGTTGGGGAAAAACGCATCAAAAGGCATGATTCTATTGGACAGTCTTTATGTGATTACTGGTATGCTTTAGGGAATTTTGTCTGTGTGTATGTTTTTCACTCTTTTCTGGCCTTGTGTCTCTTTTTCACTTGTTAGTTGGTATATATGTCTGTTTTTCCTCTCACTCTTCTCTCCCTCTAACTTCCTTCTGCCCTCCCCCCACCTTCTTCCATTATTTTCCTTTTTCGTACTTCCTTTTGTTCCAGGGAGCAAACCTAAACCCTGCTGCACAGACAGATTGTAAGGCAGTAGGAAATGGGTTCCAGTGTGCCCATATACCTGTTGGTGGATACTGGGATCTGCAGATAGATTCTGAATCACACCTTCCCCTTCAATTAAACCTGAAAACTGCAAAAAGTACACCCCCAGCCCATAGTCCAGCCTCAAAAGTGAACAAAGCCAGAGGACCCTCATAAGAAAGAACAGGAGATTGAACGAAAGAAGTACAAGCAACTCCACCTTCCCAGAAAAAAAGAATTAAAGAAGGGGAGGGAAAGGGGGAGAGAGAGAGAACTCTACACAAATGAAGAAAAACCAAAAGAAGAACATGTGTTTCTCCCAGACCTCTGGGAGGGCAGACACTGAGAAAACTCACATTTCAATAATTAGCCTGACTTTAAATGGACTAAATGCACCACTGAAAAGACACAGAATGGCAAAATGGATAAAATATCACCAGGCACAATATACTGCCTCTAAGAGACCCATCTCACTAGAAAGGACACTCACAATCTCAAAGTAAGAGGATGGAAAACAAATTTTCAAGCAAACGGAACACAAAAGAAAGCAGCTTCTATGAAAATTCAAAAAAGATATTGAGTCTAACACTATCATAGCTGGGGACTTTAATACCCCACTCACAACCCTACACAAATCATCAGGACAAAAAATCAGCAATGAGATCCGGAACCTCAATGTGACTGTTGACGAAATGGACTTAATTGATACCTACAGAACACTCCACCCAACGACCACAGAATATACATTCTACTCATCACTGCATGGAACGTACTCTAAGATCAACCACATACTTGGCCATAAATCAAGCATAAACAAATTTCAAAAGATCGAAATTTTGTCATGTACCTTCTCAGACCACAGAGGAATAAAAATAAACATCAGCACCAACAAGGGCACCCCCAAACCCACAAAGACATGGACACTAAATAGCATGATGCTAAAAAACTCCCACGTCAATGAGGAAATCAAAACAGAGATTAAAAGATACCTGGAAACAAATGAAAATGAAGAAACATCTTACCAAAATCTCTGGGACGCCAAGAAAGCTGTAGTAAGAGGGGAATACATATCTCTACAAATGCACATGAAGAAAATGGAAGGATCCTAACAAATCACCTTAGGAAGCTGGAAAAGCAAGACCACAAAAACCCTAACTTCAGCAGAAGAATCCAGATCACCAAAATAAAAGCCCAAATCTGGGACATAGAAGACAAAAAGATAATACAAAAAAATCAATGAAACAAAAAGCTGGTTCTTCGAAAGGATGAACAAGATTGATGGTCCCCTAACTAGACTGACCAAGAAAAAAAGAGAAAAAGTCCAAATAAATACAATCAGAAACACAAAAGATGAAGTCACATCTAACCCTGAAGAAATACAAAAGATCATTAGGACTACTATGTACACTTGTATGGAAACAAACTTGAAAACCTAATGGAAATGGAAGACTTTCATATATCACACAACCTGCCTAGGTTGAAACAAGAAGAAATCAAGACCCTAAATAGACCAATAGCAATCAAGGAAATTGACTATGTAATAAGAAAACTACCTATTAAAAAAAGCCCTGGACCAGATGGCTTTCCAACAGAATTCTATAAGACATTTAAGGAGGAGCTTATACCAATCCTGATGAAAGTATTCCAGGTGATTGAGAAAGATGAAACCTTCCCCAAATCATTTTACAAAGCTAACATCACATTGATACCCAAGCCAGGTAAAGACCCAACAAAGAAAGAGAACAACAGGCCAATATCTTTCATGAACATAGATGCCAAAATTCTCAACAAGATCCTAGCAAACCGGATTCAACAACACATCTCAAAAATCATCCATCATGATCAAGTAGGCTTCATCCCTGGGATGCAAGGCTGGTTCAACATTCATAAAACCATAAATGTAATTAAATACATCAACAGATGTCAAAACAAAAACCACATGATTATATCATTAGTTGCAGAAAAAGCTTTTAATAAAATCTAGCACCCCTTCTTGATAATAACCCTTGAAAGGCTAAGCATATGGGGAACATACCTCAAAATAGTAAAGCCATCTACGAGAAACCCATGGCCAGCATACTCCTAAATGGACAAAAAATTGGAACCATTTCCCCTGAAAACTGGAACAAGACAAAGATCCCCACTCTCTCCCCTACTGTTCAATATAGTATTGGAAGTTCTGGCTAGAGCAAT